TTTTCAAATTCTTTCCTCGCCCCGTTCTCGCGATATTTGGAAAACTATTAAATCGATTTGTTTTTGTTTTTGTGTTGTAAAGTTTTTAGAAATGTATTAATCTAGCTCAAATTTCATATTTATTTATTATAAAAATTTGAAACAAATCAAACACATGAAAGTGTGAACACCGTCCATTTTGGTATGGAACGCCCCATATACACATATACATATATATGTACGTATATATGTATGTATGCCCGTGCCATTACTTGACCTTCTTATCTTCTATTTTCTCTTTGTGCTTTTACGCCTATTTTTCACATCTCTATTAAAATGAATAATAAATGAGCGAATATGTATACCTATTCGTAAAAAGTTGAATGCCACAGAAAAGGTGAAACTGCGGCAGGAAGATTATGGTCGGTGTAAATATTTTAGTTTTGGGCTATTTACTTTAGAGTTTACTTTCATTCCAAAATTAGCTGTAGTAAAGTTTTCTTGCATTAGAAATTATTTTAAACGAATCATATCGCACACTTACATCTAAAGTGGCCTAACGCAAAATTCATAGAGGGAAATTTAAGTGCTTGTGGATCCAGCTTAAACTTAGGGTCGACTTTATTTCATATACGAATAGGTATACCCCAATAGTTTTGGAGTCCAATGAAAATGCATTTCCCCATGCATACGTATGTACATACGTACTCCATTAACTGATAAAGTTTTTACATGCATACATATATATGTATGTATGTATGTGCATATTACCAGAGAACTTAGATAGATGGAGAAGGTGCAAATTTTTGGAACGTAAAATTGTTTGGCTGAAAAATAAATCCATGGAATATCACCACAGCGCGATTAACATTTCAAGAAGAGTTAACAGAGAAAAATATAAATTTCTGTTATGATAATGTTATATTTGTTGCAAGTGTCTGCCTATGTGTTGCTAGGTTGCAGGTGAATGCAGAAACGTGTTCATGGATATTTTTATACCTTTCATGAGCATGAAATGGTATTATAACTTTGGTCCGATGTTTGTAAGTACCAGAACAAAAAGAGATAGACCCATTAAAATGTATACTTATTTGATCAGAACGTCGAGCTGAGTTGATTTATCCATGTCCGTCTGTCCGTCTGTCCGTCTGTCTGTCTGTTTGTATGCAATCTAGTCTCTCAGTTTTCGAGATATCCGGATCAAATTTGGTAAGTGGGTGTATTTTTATAATGTATTAATCATTTGTCGGAACCGGAAGAATCGGACCACTATAACATATAGCTCCCATACAACTGATTGTTCAGATATGAGATTTTTCGTTATAACTTCTCCATTTA